GCTAAAAAAATAATTAAAATAATTTAAAGTAAAAATAAGAATAAATAAAGAATTAAACTCTTTAATTTTTCAGAATTTTTAAAATATTTATCAAAAAAATTTTATCCGAATCTGAACATACAATATATAATTAATTAACAACTTTTATAGAATTGAAGTAAAAAATGAAGACAATTTGCTTAATAAATTATTTACAAAATTTCAGTATTTAATTAAATTATTTAAGTGTCATATTAAATAAATTTACGTAGAAATAAAAGGAAGTATTTATTAACTATGAGCATATTATTATTAAATTTATTTTTTATTAGCTGCAGAAAAATAAGCACACAACTTGGAAAATATGAGAGGGGAAAGATGATGAAAACTTGGAAATTGAAAGAAAATAGTAAAGTTGACTGCGTGGAATTATTTGGAAAATAAAAATATATTGATTAGATCATTGTAGAATGATTGTCAAAAATACCAGAAAAAAAATATAAAATTTAATTTTCTTTTTGTAAATGCCGTACAAAAATTAAATTTAAAAGTCGAAGTGAATTATTTTTTTATCTAATCGGGATACGCCCATTCTGTCGCAGACTAGTAACTGACAATGTCCTTAATCGAAAATTTTCCATTTTTACTATTGTAACAAATTTTCAGCGCTATGGAATGGTACCACCGATACCCCCACAAGTTTGCAACAGAGTAGCCTAGCGACAGAGTGGGTCGCCCGATTAAACTACAAAAAATTTAAATCTTTTGACCCACATTTCCCATTCTCATCCATTGGATCGAAAAAAACATTTGTTGTTGGATAAGGAATTGGTGGAGAGTCAATCCCAACAATTGCATTTTGTTCGTCAAGTGAAGGATTTCGAAATCTTGAAATAAATTTCTTTATTAATTCCTCTATCCTTTGCAGAGAAGAACGTGAATTCTCAAAACTAGAATATTTTTATCATTTTCGGAGAATATTTTTAAGATAAAATTACTTGTCGGGAGTGAGTAAACCTTTCTGTAAGATTCTTTGGCAAATTGTTTTGTTTAATGATTCATCAAACAATGGAATGCCGAAAACACAGTCGAAGAGAACATAATCATTGAAAGACTCCCCACGACATAAATGTGTTCGACTGGTTGAAACTTTTCTTAAGAAAAGGAATTAGTTTTCTTGAAAAAAACTCTTACTTTGGATCTTTTGTAATTGTATTGCTTAATTGAAAAACACTTAGAGAATAAGCAGAATTTGGTGAGGGTATTAACGTCGATTGATTAGAAGGAGAAAATTCATCATTTTCTGAGGGACGTTGTTGTTCACTTTCATTTTTATCATTATTCTCCTCATCTTCAAATGAAGGTTGAGAAGGATCATCAGTGTTATGCAATTTTAAGAGAACAATATAACCACAAAGATAGTCTAAACCAAGAGAAGATTGCAACCTTTGAACGACTGGATGTCTTGTAAATGGTTGTAGACATTCTATATTCTGAAAATAAAAATATTAATTGAAAATTAAGAAGAGGGTTTATAAAAGAATAAAAAACAGAATTTATAAATTATTGTAAATACTTAAATTCAATTATTTGTTAGTAAGTAGATTATTTTAATTCAATAGTTAAAAATGAAAACAGAAAGAATGTTCGTAAAAAAGAGCGCAAAGAGAAATAAAAAAATAGGCAATAAAAATACTCATTGTCAATACAATAAAAAGACACACCGATTGTTGTTGTTCACATTCATTTGTTTGAATAGATCCATTAATGCCTCTCTCTTCACTTTCTATATCAAAAGGAAATGGAACATTTACAATTTCAGCATCAGATACAAGTTCACTATAAGCCTGAAAATTAAAAAAAAAAAATAATTAAAATATTTATTTAAAATAAATAATTTACTTGTAAAAACACTGGCGCAGAATGCAAAGCATCTCCTACTGGAATAAGCGAACTTTCAATAGGTAGAATAACAGGTTCATGATTGTTTCCTTGAGTAAGCATTAAACGACGACTTTTCCAGAAGAGTTTAGGAAGTTTGGTAATATAAGTGCCCATAGGGAGGAAAATTGAAGGAGGACCACATGTTGCTAATTCGTATATAAAAAGACGAAACCAAGGAGATGTTAGCTAAAATAATTATTTCGAATAGAAAATAATAAAAAAAATACTTCTACTGACGCGGCAGTTCCCAAATGAGGAAGTTTAGCCGAATGTAAACAACACGCTTCAGCACCTATAACAAAGCAAAAAAGTAAAAAATTATTTTTTAGACTTTAATTTTATAAATTAACCGATCGGAGCCATCGAAACGAGCAGTCTAAAATTATAAAATTATTTTAAAAATAAATAAAATATTTACTTGTAAGATTTTTCAATTACTCTAAGACGTGCTGCACTTTCCAAATTTAAAAGACTTTCTCCACGTATAAGGTCCATTTCAGAAACGCTTCTTAATGATTGAATTGTATATAACAAAGTTCTAGCATGCTCTGAATAACGCTGTGCTTCACCTTCAGCAAAGAAATTAACCTAAAATTAATTTATAAGCTAAAAATTTGTCAAAAAAATTAATACATTTTGAAGTTCGTCAATAAAACTATCCATAGCATCCTCACTTAGCTTACCAACCTCAAACAACGTAATTGCATGATTTTTTAGAGTCTACAAAAGAAATATATTTAAAAATAAATTTTAATAAGAAAATTTACAGCAGATAAATTTCCCATCATCAAAAAAGCAGTGAGAGAAGAATCAAAAATGAATGCTATTCTTTTTGCAACAGCTGAAGTGGTTGAACTTGCCGAACTTTCAACAACGAATGGAGAATTTTGCGAAACAGCCTTAAAAATATAAAGAAATATTTCAACAAAAATATCATTATTTAATACATTTTCTACAGCCGAAACAATATCATCATCGTCAAAAAAACCTCCAGAATTTATATTCATTAAAGAAAAGTTGAGATCATTTAATTCTGCGCTAATAGAAGGTTCCGGTGTGGTTGGTGATGAAAGACTAGATAATATTATTTAAATAAATATTTAATTAAATATTTACCAAGAACCAGAAGACGAATTCTCCACACCCCACGAGTTGTGAAGAACAAAATTTTCAATTCCTGTAACTCTTTTACGCGCAAAACCAAGTCGGCAAAAAAGAGAAACAGCGTTACAAATCAGGTCAATATCAATGCCGATTGTTTCGGAGAGCTGAAAATTAAACGATAAAATTAGAAAAAATAATTTTAAAGCCCAAAAGAAAATTTATGCCTAATGGGGAAAAACATTGGTCTGATATTAAAATATTTTTTCCTCTGAATGTCGAAAATTAAATAAAATTGCAATAGAATTAAAACGGGGAGCACTAGTCTTGATTAATTACTAGGGGTATAAATTTAATAAACTTAAAAATAGAATTAGTTTATGCTAAAAAATCTTAAATTAAAACCTCTCGTATAGAAGTCTGCCCATCAATAGCAACAAAAATTTTATAGAGTAATGTCTCAAAAAAATCACCCTGAGTTCGATTCATAACAAATCCGTCAAGAGTAGGAACTAATAAATAAATTAAAAAATGAAACCGTTCCTATATTTACCATAAACACAATCCTCAGGATGTATTGGAACTTCCAAATAAGCAAGGCCACGGCTAAGCAACCTCTGAATAACATTCTTATCCAAAAGGCCACAAAGTTGAGTACCTTCATCCATTAGTTTGTCAATTACTTCTTTCTCCACAGAACTTAATAACTAAAAATTTAATGAAAACAGAACTTTTTTAAATTTAATAAAAATTACCCGAACATCATTTTCCAAAACACAACCATAATTGAATAGAAACCAAGGCTCTACAGTAAAATTATTGACTGGCTTTTGGGGCAGCATTTCCCTAACAGATTTTGAACGGCGAAAAAGACGACGGTTTGCACGGCTCTGGTTCACAAGATCAATATATTGATTGCGGCCAATTCCAAGGATTTGCATCGCATCAACAGCAGTAAAGTTTGGAATAGAATCATAGCTCTTTTCTGCTTGCATTACATCAACAAGCATTTCCCTAAAAATAATATCAACATTTGCTTACTTGGACGGAGAATGTTTTTCTGTATTTCGAATTCAAAAAAAAGGTAAAAAAACTTCGTCAAAACCCTTCAAAGAAAATATTTTAAAAAACAAACGTATAATAAGTGAAAGGAGTTAAACGCAATTCTCGAACCAAAATATCAGAAAGATGGTAAGGGTAAAGCATCATTTTTGCTCTGCTATGATGAAGTAAACAATCATAATATTCCTCTTGAACTCTTTTAACAAATCTAACTAAAAAAAATAATTTTTAAATTTAAAAAATAATTCAAATAAATATTTACCGATATTTTCCTTGTACCTAAGTTGATTTTTAATTGAATATTCCAATATTCTTTTGTCATATTCTCGTTGAGAACCACCCAAAACTGTACGTAAATCATCTGACAATTTTGTCCAAGTAATATTTTTCCTTATCGCTTCATCAACTGCTTCAGATGACATTACTCACTAAAAATACTTAAAATAAAATTAAAAATTAAATAGGCACATTTAGTCTCGCGAAAGAAATATTTCTTTAGATATTAAAAGCAAAGCTGAATTTTATTTGGTATATCTATCACTTCGCTCGTCACGTAAAAAACTATCATTTTGCCTTCCGTGAATGAAAAAATGCGCGCATAATTCAATAGATTATTTGTCTTTTAAAGTACTTTTTTCCCATAAAATGTTATTAAAAGTCAAAGTTTTGCCAATACAACAAACACACACTCCCCCCTATTTTTATTTTAATTCATTTTCGAAGAGGGAAAGTATTGGATTTTTAATTTTAAATAAAAAAAGTATAACAATAACTGTTAATATTTATATTTTTTTAAATCAAAAACAAAAATTTTTCATTTTATTCAAACAATAGAATATATTAAAAAACAAAAAAAATTAAATAAAAAATAAATAAAAATGGAATTGTTTTGGAATTTCTTCAATTTTTAATTTTTAATAAGTGATACAAGGACGGTGAACATTTGGATGTGATTTAATTAGTCCAATACCTGCCATAAAACGGCTATAGGCACTTTCTAGATTCTAAAAAAGTTTTAAAAAATATTTAAAAAAAAAACAAACTTTTCCAGTTTTTGGATCCAAATCAACAATACGTACCTTAAAAAGAAAAAATAATTTTTTTTAAATAAACAAAGAATTTTATACAGAAAAGGCAAAATAAAGAGATTGACCATCCAAAGCACGAACACTTACAAACCCAGAACCTCCCCCAACTGTCCTAACTATATTTTCTCCAATTTTGTCAACAAGTCGAATACTTATCTTTAATTTTAAACAAAATTTAATTTAAAATTATTTTAAATTAAAAAACCATTAAGGAGCAATCTTTCATTGTTGCGGCAAGTAAATATCTTTCAACAAGAGAACGAGCATCCCTTTTGGCTAAAAAGTCAAGTCCCCGTCCCAAAAGATTCGATTTTTTCTGCAATTCTCTCTTAAAATAAAAAAATATTTATTAAGAAAATCAAAGCAAAACCTGTATATTTTGTGGAAGACTTTTATAAAGCTCGTAAGCACGAACAATTCCAATATTGTCAATTTTTTGGGCTTTGAGCAAATCAAAAAGAACGCTGCTTTGTTGTAGAGAAAATGGTTTTTGGTCATCGTTGACACCGGCAAGAATGCAAGTTACCTTTAAAATTAAATTAAAAATAAATTTGAATTGAAAGAATAATTTGAGTAAAAGACGAAAAAGATTTAAAAAAATTAAAAAAGAAAAACAAACAATTTTAATAAATATTTGAATATTAGCATTTGGAGTGCCAGGAAATATTAAGTCAGAAAGAATTTTTTCATCAAAATTTTTTGGAGAATCAGAATCATCATGAACTGAATTTCCGTCAACAAAAATTCGAAGATTTCTATGAGGGTCGTAAATTAAGGAGGCAAGAGCATATTCCATTTTTGAGCGTTCACCGCTGTAAAGTGCCAAAGGGCAGTAGTCATACATTGAAGAAAAACTTGCAGACTTCCATTTTTCTATCTGAAATTTATTTTTCTTATAAATTTGCCGTAATTTTAAGTGTATGTAAGAGTTATTGAAAGGGAAATAATTTTTTGGATTAAAAAAACTCTCGTCCAAAAATATTTTAAATTAACATTAAAATTAATTTATTTAATTTTCCATTCAATATTACCAAATAGTAATATTAAACCTGACAGACCCCATATTTTCATCCCCAACTTTCCTGTATATCTACAGACTGGTGACTTTTTCCTTTCTTCCATTCCAATTGCCTTTCTATATTTTGCCTTCAAACAATCAAAAGAAATTATTTATTTCCCCTTGATGGAAGAAAGGAAAATTGGAATGGAAGAAGGGAAGAAGTCTGACTATTCTGCAAATATTAGGAAGAAACTTAGGGAGGTCAAAAATGGGTCTGTCAGGCTCAATATTACCAAAAAAAAATCTTAAAAATTTTTACAAAATTTAAAAAAACCTGCAGTATGCAATTGTTACAAAAAGGGACATCAACGCCTGGATGAGTTTGAAAAAACCCTAAAAAACATTCAAAAATTATTTAAAATAAAAACAAAATCTAGCCTTGCTTAGGTTTAATTTCTAAAGTAATTGTTGGCCCAAAACAATGAGCATTTGGACGGGGTATTCGAGTAGCATCAGGCATTTCAAGGGCAAGAATTGTTCTCGAACAATTATGGGATTTGTGAGGAAAACGAGAAGAATTTGTTGGATAAGTAGAAATTAATTCATTAAAATCTTCAATTTTGTGATTTTTTGGAAGAGAAGGAATCTTTTTTAAAAAATATTTTTAAATAAAAATTAAAGAAAAACCTTAGCTAAATGATGTAATTCATCAGAATTAATATTTACAAGTTTGGCTTTAATTAAATAATTATCATCTAGAAAAGGAGAAATAAATTGTTCCATATATTTATTTATTATGTCACATCTTTTTTAATTTTAAAAATTATAAAAAATATTTAAAGAGAAACAAACTTTGGTTTAAAATTAATTAAATTAGAACGTCTCTTTTTTGCTAATCTCCAAACAATTCTAAATTTTAGAGAATTTAAAATAAACAAAAATTAAATTTTTTTCAAACCTTAAATTATCTGTCCTCCCTTTTGCACTAATAACTATATTACAACGCCCTTCACCTCTAAAAATTTAATTTTTAAAAAATTTTTCTAAAAATAAACCTAAAACAGAAAGCCCTGTATTCGTGTAAATCAACAGTTTCAAGCATAAATAAAAGAAATAATTAAATAAAAATAATTAAAGTTAATATGTATTGTTTAATAAGTGAAAAATAAAAAAATAATTATCTCATAATTAAAAAAATATTTTTGCTAAAATTAATAAATTAAAAAAGAAAGGAAATTAGGGTTCAACAATATTAGTAGAATTAGAAAAAAAGTTAGAAAAATTTTGACGAGAGATGAATTGACGAGAGACGGATTGGGTATCTTTAGTTTCTTGGGACGAATCGAGGGTTTTGTTCATTGGGACGTGTTGGGATCAGAGCTGCACGAAAATTTTCGTTTCGTTTCGCGTTTCGTAGATTTTCGTGGATTTTTTTTATGAATTTCGTTTTGTTTCGTTTCGTATTTCTTTAAAAATATTTTTTTCGTTTCGTTTCGTACATTGACGAATTTATTTTTTCGTTCTCATTTTCGTGCAGCTTTGGTTGGGATGGAACGAATGAAATCGCGTTTTACATGGCTGACACAATTGAACCATGAAGGATATCGAGGAATTAGGGGGTGATTAGAGGGTATTTGTGGGATTAACAGATATCGAGAGATAAGGGAGGGTTAATAGAGATAATGAGGGTTGGAGAGGTGAGTAAGAAGTATTTCGAGTGATTAAGAGGACTTGGAGAGATACCGAGGGGTTTGGGGATTAAAAGCAATATTTTAAAGGAGGGAGTCGGTATTTCGAATAATTTTGGTTGAGGATAAGAATGAAATTAAAAAAGAATAAACAAAAAATACGAAGAGTTAAGAGACTAACAAAATAAAAAATTTTAAAAATATTAACCAAACTAGAAATAACTGACTTTATTTTTCGAGAAAATTTTATCAGTCATAAGGGAGAATGATAACTTTGAATAACAAATACTACATCATTATAAAGGCCCTTAAAATACATAGAATTAAAAAAATCCCGTCATAAAAAATTTCTATTAATTTTATTTTTATAAAAAAAACAAAAATAGAATTAAATAAAATTCTCAATAAAATTCTCTTCCTCTTTCGTTTTTTAATGGGAAAAATAAGAGAAATGAATCATGGATAAAAAAGATTGATTAGAAAATAAAACTAAAGAATCATTTAGTTATACATTAAACTGATAGTGTATTGAGAGAGAGAGAGAAGAAATAAAATAAAAAAACTTTTTCTTATTAATCAGTGACAGTAATAGTAGTTTCGCTGAATTTATCCTTAAATAGAAAATAATGAAAATAAATTTGAGGATATTGAACTTCGTAGAAAATAAATTAAAAATATATTGCACTATCCCTCCCTTATAAATCTCTTCCACTTGTTAGATTTAAAAAGTCTTTGTGAGTTATTCCAGGTCCGGCGAAATCCCTCTCACAATTCCTGTTAGGAAATTATATCTTCTAGATTAAAATATAATTAATTACTTAATGAAATATAAGGTGAGATTGACGTTTAAAATCATAATTAAAAATTATTCCAACTTCGAAATTATCTCTATGTTTAATTAAAATAATTTATAGGAAACTGGAAATTATTTTATCAAAATTTATCAAATTTTTTTTTATAAAAGTTCACTTAAACCATAAATTTTAAAAAGTTAAAAGGATAAAGAAAATTATTTTAAATATATGGTTATAATATTTTTATATAATATTTTTATGCATATTTTTAATATTAATGTAAATTTTTTTCAAATTGGAACAAAAATATTTTTTTTACAAAAATCGAATAATTACTAAAATTAATCATCAATTCAATTTAAATAATTTCTTAACAGCCAAATTATTAGTAATTTAACCTCCAAATTTAAAATACTTAATTGAAAAAAATTTAACAAGAGCTTTGATTTGTCCAATCACTAAATATATCCACATTTTTTTAAATTTCCATTTACTCCTTTAATTATTGTATACTAAATAGTATTTCTTTTTTAATTTCTTAAATTTATTCAAACATTAATAGCAACTTTTTATGTTCTAATAAATTTCTAAAATAAAACATTTATTCAAAATGACATTTATTTGTTAATTTGGATTTTTTGGAAGAAAAAAGAAAATAATTAACTAACTAAAATTTATTCTAAAAAAATTTTTTTCCTTTAAAAATCCTTAAAATATTTAAAATAAAAAAATTGAAAATAAAATTGTTTTTTCTTTTTTAATTTTATTATTTGGAATTATTGGTGGATTAATAGCTGTAATATGTTCTGTTTATTTTTGGAAATTTTGTTGTCGTAAAATTGAAAAATCTGAAAATATTAGACAAAATAATGGGAATAATAATGGATTTAGGTAGGTTAATTAAATTTATTTAAAATTAATTAGAAATTATGTAGAAATCGTTATTATCAACAAATTCCCTCAATAATTGGAATTGCTGAACTTGAACAAATAAATAAAAGACAAAAAGAGGAGGAGGAGGAGAATAATATTAATTATTATTTTAATCCATTATTTAATCCAAATCAAAGTCAAAAACCTTTAATTACTCATTTTCAAAGACAATTAAGTAAAAATTCACAACAAAATGGGAATTTTTGGGGACAAGAAGAGGATGGACAGGAAGGGCAAACACGTAGTTTATTATTTGAATTGGCTAATGATACGGGGAAATTGGCAAAGCTTTTCCCTAAAATTGGTCCTAAAAGTAGTAAGTTTAATTAAATTTATTTAAGTTTTATTTTAATTGGAGACTTTCAAAGACAATTAAGTAAAATTTTTTAGGAATTGAAGGGAATAAAAATTATAATATTTTAAGAAAAATTTCCTCTTTTATTGGAATATTCTGATATTTAAAAAGTAATCTTTCCTCATTATTATTCCATCGAAAAAGACCAAAATAGACCTGAAAATACTATTTGTAATTTATAATTTTTTAGCACAATTAAACGAATCAACAATTAATCAAGAAAACGAATTTATATTATCAAATAAAAATAGAAGAAGCACAAAACGAAAAAGCGAAACAAAAAGAAGAAATTCAACAATACGTTTACTTTCTGAACCAAAAAAGAATTTTTGTCAAGTTAATTTGAAGGAATGTGGAACACAAGTAAATTATATTTTTAAATCTGGGTTGTTTCTTTTAAATTGACTCACTTAAAGTTGAGAAAGATAATTGGGATTAAAAGGGAATTCTAACTTCTTTGATATTTATTTAAAAAATTCGGGTTAAAAGGGGAAATTTAAAAAATTCTTGCCGCTTATGTCCTCTGAAATTAAACTTTATCAATAAAAATACTTTTTAAATCCTAATTTAAATTCTAAAATATATACTAAATATTTAGACAAGCCCTTTATTACCACCAAATAATTATTTATTAAATAAAAAACAACTAAATAATGAAGAAATAAATACTAATTTAATTGGAAAATCAAAAAGACAATTTTCTGTTATTGGAAGAAAATCAAAAGAAATGGAAGAAAATTCTTTTACAGAAAATGGTTGGAATCGTAGAAGAAGAGCAAATACATTGACACAAAAACAGGTGGGGAAAATTAAGAAAAAAATTTTTTTAATTAAAGAAGTAATTGTTAATAAAAAAATAAAAAAAACAAAAATTATTTAAATTTAAAAATTTTTTTTTGTTAAAATATTAGTTAAAAGGGATTAGAGAAAAAGAGCTCGATCCATGGTATGTACCAGGGATCGCGCCGACAGAAAACTAAATTCACAATTTTCGTGAAACTTGAATTTGAATTCACGATTTTCGGGAATCGTGAATCGGGTCGGCGCGACCCCTGATATGTACAGTGTATCAAT